GGTCTTCCTTGTAGGTATATGGATATTATCCTATCACTGACAGCATTGTACTTCAGGACAGATCTTGAAAGAGTCTTTGTGATGATGAATGCCACATCATTCCTCTTTGTCATTCCTGGCATAGTAGATCATATGGTTGTCTGATTCAAAATGGCCCAAACCAGTCCATTTCAGCTCACTAATGCCCAGGATATAGATCTTTATATGTTCCATTTTATTTTTGACTACTTCCAATTTTCCTATATTCATACTTTGTACATTCCATGTTCCAATTATTAGTGGATGTTTGCACCTGTTTCTATTCATTGTGAGTTGTGTCACATCAGTCAATGGAGGTCCCAAAAGCTTTACTCTATCCATATCAAAAGGTAATCTCTCCTCTGAGGAATCGGCTCTTCCTCAATCAAATTTTGAATGCCTTCAGATCTGATGGACTCATCTTCCAGCACTTTATCAGACAATGTTTCAGGGCTATTTTCCAGTAATATATCAATGTTTCACTACTATTTATAATGTTTTCACTAGCCAATTCTTTGAGAAGTGGATGGCCTCTTCCTTCTTCCAAGTCTGTCTTAGCCCAGAAGCTCCACTGAAACCTGTCCACCATGAGCAACCCTGCTGGCATTTCGCAACACCAGTGGCAGAGCCTCCAGCTTCACGGCAACACATAAGCCACCACAGGATGACAAACTGACAGACAAGGTTGTCTCCCTTAGTTGTTCCTAACCGTTCAGTGCCTGCCTACCTTGGGTTCTGGCCTTAAAATAGAGCCACCCCCAAGCAAAAGCAGCCCCAAGCCTGGCGCCTGCCTACCTCTTGGCTGGGTGCTTCTAAAATGTTTGCTGAGTGAATAAATGAATGGATTATCTTTTTGTAAATCCATTGCTTCTTTTCTTATATAAATGGATCTATAAAACCCATATACTCATTTGATACATAATCCAAATACCCATACATAATCCATATATCCAAAGACATAAAACTACATGTCATTTTTCCCCATTGATTATTTAAATGAGATTTTCTTGAAAGCAGGATGTCCATGGTATTAACCATAAATTTCAAAATCTTCACTTTCACATAATTTTTCCAGTATACATATATATATGTCAAATGACCTTTATCCATAATAATCTATTTACCTTACAGTTTATATGAATAGTTACTTAGGTAAAGATTTCAACACTAAACTCAAAGGATTTAGAGACTGACCACTTCATAGGAAAAAGATGACTGTAATTACTGCTTTGGGTTAAATAACTAATACATTAAGTATCATGTGCATTTATTGTACTGGATTGCCCATGATTCCCTGTAATTATTAAAAATTTGCTATAGAGGGGAAATCTGAGTGAGGAAAGAGAACAAAGCAATAACAGGATGAAGAAGAGAAAAAGAATAGCACACAGCCATAACCTACTAACTTATTAGTATTTCAGTTATAATAGTTATATCTTAAAAGCATAAAAGTATTTCCTACAGCATGGTTGCTAAATGACTATCTGGTTGCAAAGTTAAACAAAGGTAAGGAAAAGTGAAAAAAAGTGAGTATGATTTCTCAAAATGAGAAAGTCATATGAAAAGAGGACTGACTGTATATTCTTTGTAAATATTAAAATCAAATTACTCAATAAAATTTCTTATTAGAAACTGAAGAATATTTAAGTAGAGTTACCTTTTGGCTCTGCTACTCTAACAAAGAGAGACTCGGCCTGCCAGCCCACCAAGCCATAGGGTGAGTCATTAGGTAGAGTAGTTATCACAGACTTGCTCCTTTTCTGATCAATAGTAGCACCTCTTGATAGGTCCTCAACCCCTTCTGTTGTAATACTGATGAGTGTCACAATCACAACCTTTGATAACTCTGGTATATCATCAGCAAGAACAGTCAGAGTGATAGTAGACAACGCCTGGCCTTCTGAAAATGAAATCTACAATTTTAAAGAAGGAAGATATATTTTGTAAGTATCACAGTACAGTAAGAATATCAAAAAAGTTTTATTTTGTTAAAAAACTGACCACAATTTACATAAAACAAGCTATTCAAGAAGCAAACAATGATTCTACAAATAAACAAGATGTTTTTTATATAGAAAATAGGTTATTAGGGAAAAAATTAAATCATTGCTAAAATGTAAGCTTATAGAACATGCATATAGAGAATATTGCCTCTCTCTAGGAGTCTAAGTCCCAATACCTGCCATATATAAAAATCTATTTTTCAAAAAAGAAGGTGGCCTACTAGTTTAAACATTTTTCTATACATAATTTTTGCAGAATTTCTATTTCCTTCAGCCAAGTTTTAAATAGACACAATATGTAACATTCAATCAACCAAAATAAAGGTAGAGAGAGAAAGATAAGAGATACAAATCAGAGTCTCTCTTTACTCCTGCATAAAATCTTTTGATGTCTCTCCTACGTCTAAAGAGTCAACCCCAAATATTCTAAAAGGCACCTCTTCTGACAGGGCTTCTTCCTTTTTCTTGAATGTCAATTCCCACTATTCCTCACCTCACCTTATACCCTATTCTCCAGCAATATGACTGCAAATTATTTACAATTAGCCAACTGCACACCTCTGCCTCTGTCTTTCCTAACACTTACATCTCCATCTAAAGAAAGCACTTGAGAATCTAAACTCAAGAGCTTTATTAGTAGAATCAGGGGTCAGCAAACTACAGCCAGTTGGCTAAATCCAACTGGCTGCCATTTTTGTAAATGAGATTGTATTGGAACAAAACTAAGCTCATTCCATTACATGCAATCTACCCTCAAATACAAAAGTAGAGTTCAATAGCTGTGACAGAGACTCTGTGTCCCACAATATCCAAAATATTGACTATCTTGCCTTTCATAGAAAATTTTACAGGTTTCTGAGTAATTAATTCTTCTAAAACATAACCTACACATATAATATGCATTTAAATTAGAAATATTTTAATCAAGTTTACATAAAATCTTAATTGGGAAAAATAATATAATTCAGAACATATAGAACCTAAGAGATATTACTATTTTTAGCAGCTTATATAATGTAAATATTCAATGCAATAATATTTGTTATAACATTCTTAATATATGAAAGTTCCAATCACCTTTCAAATGATACAAGAAGCTCGAAATGATTAATCATAATATACACCTGTTTGTATCTGACTTAATTCCATGATGTATCCCTTACAAGAACTCTTCAAGGAAACATTTGGACAAAATGCATGGATTAATTTATGAAATCTAACAGAAGCCAAGGAGACAACCCATCTTCTAGCCAGATACTAAAGGCTCCCTGAACCTTCCTCTTTGCAAGTCTCTACTTCCTCGGTCTGTTCTATTTTTAAACCTGAAACCCAATTTTATGCTATCCTCCAACAACAACCTGTAATGGATATTATGATCCTCTGCACAGACCCATTCTTGGGCCTGAGGCACTCATTTCCCAGCTGCTGTAATAATAGCTTCCATGTTCCTCAATGAGTAGTGCCTTCAGTTGCAATGAACTGTCTCACCCAAGGTTATACCCAATCACACGGTGGTCTGAGGTCAAGGATAACCAAAATGGGGTTGCTAACTAACACTCAGCCCCGATTGGGGAATTGAGAGCAACTCCAAGGAACCAGTTGTGCTCTAGAGCTCCCCCATGGGACTGACTAGTTTTAATCACCTGGGGGATCAGTCTCTGCCTCTTCACATTCCACCTTCCTTACTTCCCTATATCTCCTCAATAAACTTTCTACCAGTTATTTTTCATCACAAGTCAATTTATAGGAAATCCAACTTTCATCATTCCTTAATCTTGAGTTTTTCAAAAATCTAGCTATCTACATACACAGACTTGGTCACTATTTTCTGCTTTATTTTACATAAATCTTGATCACTAAGTTTCCATTCTCAGTTTGATTGGTTTTATCTTTTCTGGCTATACAATGCACCTAAAATATTGCCAACCCACATACCGAACCTCAGAAAGGTTAATGTTTATTACAGATAAGTTTGGTATTAAAGAAAAAAGAACAATAACTACCACAATGAAACTAACCTTAAATTATATCCCTCTCTATGGTGATTAGACTCATAGTAGGAATCCCATGTTGACATGGTCAAACTCAAACACTCATCCAGTATTCAGGGTTTGGTCCCATGCATCAACAGTAACCACAATTTAAAAGTGACTCCCTTATAGTTGTGGAAATTACATACCGCTCCTGAGGTGGGAAATACATCACTAATACTTCCTTCAGCTTCCCATGATACAGTTATATGACCATATGTTCCTTTTAATCGTTCAACATTCAAGGTTACTAGGTTGTCTTGCTCCATTTGTTCCACTTGCTTATGTAATGAATTCTAGAAAATGCATAGAAAGCCATAAAGATTATTTGAAATTATGTAGGCATACTTTTCTTTATTTAGTGTTATTAAGCATTCAATATCTTCAAAACACTATGCAACTTGCTATATTGTTAAGTAAAAAACAATAGTTAAAAAACAATAATGTGGAATGACTATGATTTTGTTTTAAAATGTGAGGTCTGAATATGCAAAAGAATGAGTTAAAGTATGTGAAAATGTTAATATTTATAGGATTATTTTTATCTTTGCCTTTATACTTTTCTACATTTTTCAAATCTTCTTCACTGAACATATATTACTTTTATACTCAGAAAAAAAAAAATATCTTTTCACAATTTAGTATATATAGCATGTAAAATGTTAACAGAATGAAGGACACAGAATTAGAAGAAGTAGGTTCTTCCCCTGTGTAACCTCTGGGAAATGCTTTGGGTCTTTGTTTCCTATTTGGAAAATAAGGGTTTGACCGATGTGATTGCCAAGGTCTCATCCAAATATTACATTTTCATGAGATTCTGAGAGCCCTTTCTGATCATTTGCAAATGTCTCTTATCCTTAAACTAATGTTTTCTAAAATGTTTCTTTAGTATGGATAAACTTCAACATAAAGAAAACAAAAAATGCTCACAACTGGACCATAAGTAATATTACAATAAATAGAAGATAGATTGAAGTTGTCAAGGATTTGATTTCCCTTTGATTCATAATCAATGCTTATGGAAGCAGCAGTCAAGAAATTAGAAATCACACTGAACAAATCTGCTACAAAAGACTTCTTTAAAGTGCTGAAGAACAAAGATGCCACTTTGAAGACTAAGATTGTCTTACCCAAGTCATGGTATTTTCAATAGCCATATAGCTATGCATGTGAATGAATGAGAAAGATCAAAGACAAACTGATGCATTTAAATTGTGGTGTTGAAGAATATTGAAAACACCATGGACTGCTAGAATTAACAAATCTGTCTTGGAGTTTATACAGCTGTAATGCTCCTTACAAGCGAGAATGCTCAGACCTAGTCTAATGTACTTTGCTCATGTTGCTAGAAGGGACTAGTCCCTGGAGAAGGATATCACACTTGGTAAAGTAGAAGTCAATGAAAAAGAGGAAGACCCTTAATGAAATGCATTGACACGGTGGCTGCAACAATGTGCTCAAGCATAGCAAAAATTGTAAACATGGCACAAGACTGGGCAGTGTTTCGTTCTGTTGTACATGGGGGTCACTGTGAGTCAAAAACCAACCTGATGGCACCTAACAACAAAATGTTTCTACTAATTTCTACTGATGGTATTTTATCCATGTTGTTGTTATTGTGATGTGCCATTGAGTTGGACCTGACTCATAGCGACCCCTCCTTGGGTTTTCAAGGTGGTATCACTACAGAAGTAGATTGCCCCATCTTCCTTCCGAGGAGTGGCTGGTGGGTTTGAACCGCCAGCCTTCTGGTTAGCAGTCAAGTGCCTAAGCATAGCTCATGGTTTTAAAAACTGTTGTTCTTGTCAGAAATACTCCTTTGTTAGAATTTCACATTTTCTTCTTGTCCTCACCAATGCTTCCTACCCTCTTTCTCTCATTCCAAACTGATTGCTACTCCCTGTGACTTAACATTTTTCACCAGTCATTCCTTGCCAGTCACTTAATGTACTTTCCACAAGATTAATATTTCAAGGAATCCCTTATTTTGACACCTCTGGTTTCTCCATAGGCAATAGGGTAAGAATATGAAATATAAAATCATTTTTTAAATCTTCCCAAATAGATTTTTCTTGTCTTTTTAGTATGGTAATCTGAAGAGAAATTCCCCCATTTATTTCCTAAAGTTTATGAAACACATCTCTTTAGAATGCTAATTTGAGTAGCAACCCTATTCGAAAGCAGTATTTTACACAGCATTTTAACACATTGTTACAGATGTTACACAGTAATAAAATCTTGCTCAAAGCAATCATATATTCTTGCAGAAAATGACTTGATTTTAAAATATGCATACAATTTATTCACAGATGACAATGTCTTGTAAAAGGCAAGTCTCTATCTGGCTTCATGCCCTTCATCAATGGAGGTTAATAAAATAACAATTTAAGGCAGTCAGAAAATAGGCAAGAAACTCCCATTATCTACTAAATCTCATCTTGAAACTAGGTATCCAGGCATCAGAGGACCGTACTGAGAAATCCTACTCAACAGATTGAAGGGAATCAGAATACTATCTATTACCAAGGATTAAATCATACTGACTTACGTTTCTAGAACAATTTTGGTAAAAGTTTAAGCTTAATAGAGAGAAATCTACTATACTTAAATAGGTGAGGAATAGATTTTGCTGTCCATGTGCAGCAATATTTCAAGCCAAGATGAACCAGAGTGGCAAAACAAGGGCTCTTGCCACACAAAGCCCAACTCTGACCTACATGCATGCATGAGACCCTGAGAAGGCTGTATGAGTGTAAGAGTGTTCTCTTTCCTGTATAATGATACATTTATATTAGGCATGTACTGTGTGCCAAGCACATTCTGAGTATGAAGATAAAGCCATGAACAAAACAGTATCCTAATTTCTTTTATTTTTTTTTTTTTAATTCTAGTAAAAATAAATGAAATTGAAAATAGACCAATTAGGCATTTTTAAGTACCATGTGTTTTTTTTTTTTTTTAAGGTAGTATAAGAAGAAACAGAAAGATGACGAGGAATTAAAATCTTAAATAAGGACAGGTATTTCTGGTAAGGTGAAATATGAGCAGAAACCTGAAAAAAGTATGGAAACAAGTCATATTGAAGCTGGCAAGGATAGGGGTTCTCTTCTTCATTTCCTTCCTTATAACACCCCCCAGCTCATGTCTAGAGTTGCACTCTACTATATGGCAGCCACTGGCCAAGTGTGGCTACTGAGCACTTGAAATGTATCTAGTCTCAAACGTAAAATGCACATGGAGTGAAACACAAATTGTTCAAAAAAGAATGTAAAATAGCTTAACAACCATACCCACAAATATATATAGGTTTGACAGATGATATTTCTACATAAGTTTTTGAATACGCTGCAAATATATCCATGAACATAGTAGAACATTTAGGGAGCAAAGTTATGAAAACTTCTCAGCCACAAACAAACAACTTAAGAGAATGAGTCACTGGGCCTGGGGGCTGTGAACCATAGTCTCAGGGTATATCAAGGTCAATTGGCACAGCACAGTTCACAAAGAAAATGGTCTACATCCTACTTTGATGAGTAGCGACTTGGGTCCTAAAAGCTTGTGAGCGGCTATGTAAGGTGCAACTTTTGGTCATCTGAAGCAAAAAAGAATGAAGAAAATCAAAGATGCATGGAAACAATTAGTCCACAGGACTAATAGACCATGCCAACTCCAGCCTCTACAACCTTGGGACCAGAAAAACTAAACGGTGCCCAGTTACCACAGCTGAGTGCTCTGAAAAGGATTATAATAGAAGGTCTTGGATAGAGTGTGACAAAAATGTGGAACAAAACTCAAAATCATAAAAAAGACCAGTCTTACTGGTCGGATATAGACTGACGGAACCCCGAAGATTATGATCTTTCATCAGTCTTCAAGCCTAGAACTGAACTCATTCCAGTGGCTGAATTTTCAGTCAAATAATAGGTCTGTAAATTGAACAATAAGACCAAAGAGGTACATATTCCTTAGAATAATCAACCATTTGAGATCAAAAGGGCAGCATATGCCCAGAGACAAAGTTCAGAAGGCAGGAAGGAACAGGAAAGAAGGAAGAATAGAAATGGGAAACACAGGGAGGAAGTGGGATGAATGCTATTACATTGTGGGGAGAGCAATCAATGGGATGAAAGAAAATAGGTATAAATTTTTGAATGGAAAACTGGTTTTCTCTGTAAACTTTCAACCAAACCACAATAAAAAGTTTATATAATTTATTGTGGCACCAGGATTGGAGGAAGGCTCATTAACAACCTGCAATATGCAGACGACACAATTCTGCTTGCTGAAAGTGAGAATGACATGAAGCACTTACTGATGAAGACTGAAGACTACAATATGCAGTGTGGATTACATCTCAGTCCAAAGAAAACAAAAATCCTCACAGCTGGACCAATAAGCAGCATCACAATAAATGGAGAAAAGACTGAATTTGTCAGAGATTTCATGTTACTTAGTTCCACAATCAACATCAATGGAAGTAGCAGTCGAGACATGAGAAGACCTATTGCTCTGGGAAAATCTGCTGCAAAAGATCTCTTTCAAGTGCGGAAGAGCAAAGATTTCTCTTTGAAGACTAAGGTGCACCTAAGCCAAGTCATGGTATTTTCAATTGCCTCTCATGCATATGAGAGCTGGGCAATGAATAAGGACAATCAAATAAGAGTTGATGCTTTTGAGTTGTGGTGTTGGTGGAGAATGCTGAGAGTACCATGGACTGCTAAAAGAACTAACAGATCTGTCCTGGAAGAAGTGCAGCTGGAATGCTCCTTGGAAGCAAGAACGGCCAAATTTTGTCTCACCTACTCTGATCACATTGTCAAAAGGAAACATTCCCTGGAAAAGGATATCATGCTTGGTCAAGTGGAGGGTCAACGAGGAACAGGAAAGTCCTCAACAAGATGGATTGACACAGTGGCTGAAGTGACGGGCTCACGTATAGCAAGGATCATGAAGATGGCACAGGACTAGGCAGTGTTTCTTTCTATTGTATATAAAGTCGCTATGAGTCCAAAAATCTCTTTTTCTTGTTTGATTGGCCAGAACTGAGTCTCATTCATTCATTTATTTATTTATTCTTGCAAGATATTTAACAAGTGCCTCCTATGTATGTGTTAGTATTTCAGATGTTAGAGATATAGCATAAAGGTGTAAAAATCTCTACTCTCATGGACCTTAAATCATAGAAGTGAGCAAGAAACAGGCAATGAAAGAAATGAGAAGTATACATACCATATATACTTAACAACAACACATACTTGAAGGCACTTAATAACAACACATACACTATTTTGTATATTGATATGTTAAAATTATATTAATATAATATTAAATCTAATTTACCGTTTCTTTCTGCCTTTTATAAATGTTACAACTCTGACTCCAAACCAAACTCACCACCACTGAGTCAATTCCAACCCACAGAGACCCCCACTGGGTTTTCAAGGATGTAACTCTTCACAAAAGTAAGTTACCTCATCTTCCTCCTGTTGGATTTGAATAGCTGTTGGATTTGAACCACCAATTTTCTGGTTAGCAGTCAAATGCCTTTAACTACCACACCACCAGAGCTCCTAATGTTACAACCAGGAAATTTAAAATTATATATGTGATCTGCATTTCATTTCTATTGTGTAGTGCTGTCTTAAGAGGAAGGTGACCTGGCCTTAATCCCAGGGATGGGCAAAACTGGGTAACAGCTTTGTAACCCTTGCAAACAATTGGTTCAGGACATTTTCATTTCCATTACTCCTCATTTTCTCCCCTAATCTTACTCCCTACACAGTCTTCTGTATCATGATGAACGACTAGTCCATTGTTCCAGCTGCTCTATCATTTATTGCTGAGTTGCTTCAATAGTCTCCTAACTGATCTATTTCTGTCCTTGCCAATTTATCATCTATCCTCAATATTGGGGACAGAGTGGTTCTTTTAAAATGTGAATCATATCATATCACTCTTCTACCTCAATCCTCCCAAAATGTTCCCTATTTCTCTCAGAGGCCAAATTCCATACGATGGCTAAGGGGCCCAAGATTATAGGCGGAATATTCACTTCTTGGATCTTATCTCCTCCTACAACACTGACTACTGCCACAGTTCCAAACTGCTGCTTCAGACAAGCAAGCCCTCACTTCAGCCTTGAATATGCTTCTCCCAAATGTGCAAGTAACTCATTCCCTCACCTCCTCCAGGCCCTTGCCCTCACATCACTTACTCAGTGTGGCCCTTATGTCATCCTATTTCAGATTTTCACACACAACAACCCACACCTCCTCCTTCATACTCTCCATCTGCCCCTCCTGACTAATGTTTCTCCCTAGCACTTATCACCATCACATATGGTATATATGCTTCTCATTTCTTTCATTGCCTATTTCTTGCTCACTTCTATAATTTAAGGTCCTTGAGAGTAGAGATTTTCACATCTTTATGCTATATCTCTGACATCTGAAATAGTATCACATATACAGGAGGTACTTGTTAAATATCTTGCAAGAATAAATAAATGAATGAATGAATGAGACTCAGTTCTGGCCAATCAAACAAGAAAAAGAGATTTTCTGGAGGCATTGGAAAATGGCTTCCTTACATTAAGAGAACATCTCTCTCTCTCTCTTTCTCCAAACAGACATGAACAAGAATGAGCTTTCAAATAAGCAAATGAGGGACCAGCCTTATGTTGGCAAAGTGGAGAGGTAGAAAGAACCTGGACCATGGAGTCGTGGTTGCATATCCCACCCACCCCAAAGCCCACCTTCTCTATGGACATCCTCTTAGTGCTGAAGCCAGCTTGAGTCAGGTTTTCCTCACCTATAGAATACTTTAGAGAAAGATGCATAATAGCTATAAGTATAACTCTAGTTAAGAAATCAGGATATATCTTGCAAATAGAAATATATGATGCAATTTGGGTGGGTGTCTTTTTGCTCTTTTGTAAAGGAATATGAAGCCTAGGCAGGGAAACTGTAATATTTACATGGTTCTCTTTTAAAAAAGCACCTGGATGTGCACAATGCACAGACAGTTATAAACATCTCTATCTTTGAACACATGGAAATAACAAAGGAGTAACAGGAAAGTAATCTCTTTATATGTGATGTGTGTGACACGATGCTGTACATTAGTGCATTTGGAATCTGCTTCATCATATCATCACCCATTAGTAACACAGCTAACTAAGAGCAGAGCTAAACTCCTGGGACAAGACCAATTCAAACTGAAGCCTATAAAAAGGAATTAGAGCAATAAAAGTATGGGACATGTTAACTCAGAGGGTCAGGTTTATAAGACTATAATTGTGATGATGACAGCAGAGTCTACTTTAGAATGCAAACTAGGGTGTGAAGCAGGAAAAAGGGAGCAGAGAAAGGCTTAAGATACTCAAAGTTTTACTGCTAGAGTGCTGATAACAACTATTCCATAAATACAATGAATAAATCATTTTGACTTCTAAATAAAAAACTCAGTATTATTACCTGAGCAAATCCAACAATTCCATAGGCATCATCATTAGACACAATAGTTATTTTTACATAACCATTAATACTAATCTCTGCTCCTCCTTTGGGATTTTTAAGTTGAACTCTGAAGGATTCTTCTTCCTCTGGAACTATATCATCAAGGATATTTACCACTATTATAGCTTCTCTGTCTCCAGGTTCAAATATTAGTTCACCTGAACTAACGTAGGAAGCATACATAGAAAAAGTTAATGATGACAAATTTAAGGAAAGAAAACACAGTAGACTACTCATAAAACTTTCATTACATTGATTAAGATTAAAAGATTTCATATAAAAATTGCAATTAAAAAATCTTACTATAATACTTACCAACTTAGTAGTATATTAGAAATACCGATAACTACCAAATTTCTGATTCATCAATATCTTATAATTGGCACATCTTTCAGTCACTAAATAAAGATTTACAAATAAGGTGACATAAAGCATAAAAACATTTGGCATAAAATGTGTAACCTACCTGGGAATAAAGTCAGACTGACTGGAAATGTAGGCCAGCTCATATATGTGTGAATGGGTAGCTCCCGCTAGGGCAATTAAACTCTTGCTTGAATTAAGAGATTTCACTGTAACAGAAGTTGCATCATGTGCAGAAGGTGCTTCCAGAACAAAAGAGAACTGATTCAGCTCTGAATCCCAGCAGTAAAGAGCAGACACATCTCGGCCAATAAGAAGTACGTGGACTGCAAAAAGGAAAGAAAGGCAATTAGGCTGAAATGAAAGTAGTAACCTCACTTACTTCCTATATTGCATTCAAAGCACAACTCTTAAAACTCTCAGAGCTCCGTTTTGATTTCTGAAATAACTGAACATAATTCCATTTCTGAAATAACTGAAAGTAAACAATAACTATTACAGACTATGGAATAATCAAGCCAGTCTGGCAATGTACACAAAATCCATTTAATAAAAAAATAAATGGCTAGCTGGTTAAACACTAAATGAATTTTGGACTCTTTTGTATTTGTCTCAGTTGACTCACTGGATAGGACATTTTTTCAAAGTGAAAATAAAGGCCCATAATTCCACCATGAAAAGTTTAATTTTTTTATATTCCCTTTTCAGTCATCCTTCATAGGAATTTGTAATTGACATAATTATAAACAATGTAAACAAAGTTTTTTTCTTAATACTATATCATACATATTTTTATATTTGCTACATGATATTTATCATTTTAATTCATGGAAAACAATCTATAGGGTTGATCTACAAAATATATTTAATGATTTCCCTATATTGGATGTTTCTAGTTGTTTTTCATTTAATTTTTGAATATTAAGGCCAACAATAAAGACAGGATTCTTCACTTTAACCATTTTCAATTGATAAATTCTTAAGTGAGGTTAGTTTGGTCAAAGGATATGAATAATATCATGACTTGAAATTTATTCTACCAATGCTTTTTGAAATGTCATTAGGCAACCATGCTCTCAGGTCAAAACATGGATACATATTTGTATCTACAAAATAAAAATACAGGGGAGGAGATTACTACACTGTGTATAACAATTAAAACTATGAAGAAAAATGAGAAACCATAGAGAATCACGCAACCAAGTCTAGTACTTAAAGAAACACATTGGAAAATAAAGACCAAATAGCAGAACCAGAGAGCATTGAGTATCTCTTAATTTTAACCCATAATACTCAATACTCTTACATATCAATAACCATTGATTATTTTTATAACTTCTTTTTGTTGTTGTTAGGTGCCATCCAGTAGGCTCTGACTCATAGCAACCCTATTTACAACAGAATAAAACACTGCCAGTCCTGTGCCACCCTCACAAACCCTGCTATACCTGAGCCCATCATTACAGTCACTATGCCAATCCATCTTGTTGAGGACCTTCTGCTTTTCAGTTGACCCTCCACTTTACCAAGCATGATATCCTTCTCCAGGGAATGGTCCCTTCTGACAACAAGACCAAAGTAGGTGATACGAAGTCTGGCCATTGTCGCCTCCAAGGAGCATTCTGGCTGCACTTCCTCCAGGATAGATTTGCCCATGATACACTCAGTATTCTTTGCCAACACTACAACCCAAAAATATCAACACTTCTTCGGTCTTCCTTATTCATTGTCCAGCTCTCACGTGCATATGAGGTGACTGAAAATACTAGGGCTTGGGTTAGGCGCACCTTAGTCTTCAAGGAGACATCTTTGCTCTTCAGTACTTGAGTCTTTTGCAGATTCACCCAGTGTGATATGTCTTCTGAAGTCTTGACTGCTGCTTCCATTGGTGTTGATTGTAGAACCAAGTAATATGAAGTCTTTGACAACTTCAATCTTTTCTCCATTTATTGTGATGCTGCTTATTGGTCCCGTTGTGAGGATTTATGTTTTCTTTTATTGAGGTATATTCCATAATGCAGACTGTATTCTTCAATCTTCAACATTAAGTGCTTCAAGTCATCCTTACTTTCAGCAAGCAAAGTGTAATGCAGGTTGTTAAAGAGCCTTCCTCCAATCCTGATGCCACGTTCTTCTTCATAGTCCAGCTTCTTGGATTATTTGCTCAGCATACAGATTGAGTAAGTATTGGGAAAAGATACAACCCTGACACACTCCCTTCCTCATTTTAAACCATGCAGTATCCTCTTGTTCTGTTTGAACAACAGCCTTCTGGTCTATGTACAGTTTCCTCATGAGTTCAATTAAGTGTTCTGTAATTCCCATTCTTCTCAATGTTATCCATAATTTGTTATGACCCACACAATCTAACACTTTAGCATAGTCAATAAAATACAATAAACATCTTTCTGGTATTCTTTGCTTTCAGCCAAGAACCATCTGGTATCAGCAATAATACTCCTCATTCTACATCCTCTTCTGAATCCAGCTTGCATTTCTGGAAGTTCTCTGTCAATATAATGCTCCAACTGTTTTTGAATTATCTTCAGTAAGATTTTACTTGCTTGCTATATTAATGATATTGTTCAATAATTTCCACATTCTGTGGGATCACCTTTCTTTGGAATGGGTACAAATATGGAACAATATTTGTATGGCCAGGTAGCTGTCTTCCAAATCTCTTGGCATAGAAAAATGAGTGTCTCCAGCAGGGCTTCTGTTTGTTGAAACATGTTGATGGGTATTCCATCAATTCCTGGAGCCTTGTTCTTTGCCACTTCCTTCAGTGCAGCTTCAACTTCTTCCTTCAATACCATTGGGTCTTGATCATATGGCACCTCTGACATGGATGCAGATTGACCAGTTCTTTTTGGTACAGTGATTCTGTGTATTCCTTCTATCTTCCTTTGATGCTTCCTGCATCATTCAATATTTTGCCCATAGAATCTTTCAATATTGCAACTCCAGGCTTAAATATTTTCCTCAGTTCTTTCAGCTTCAGAAATGCCGAGTGTGTTCTTCCCTTTTGGTTTTCCAACTCCAGGTATTTGCAAATTTCATTATAATTGGCTTTGTCTTCTTGAGCTGCTCTTTGAAATATTCTGTTCAGCTCTTTTATCTTGTCATTTCTTCCGTTTGCTTTAGCTACTCTTCTTTCAAGGGCAAGTTTCAGAATCTTTTCTGACATCCATTTTGGTCTTCTCTTCCTTTCCTGTCTTTTTAATGACGTTTTACTTTCTTCATGGATGATGTTCTTGATGTCATCCCACAATTCCTCTAGTTTTCGGTCAATGGTGTTCAGTGCATCAAATCTATTCTTTAGATGGTCTCTAAATTCAGGAGGAATATATTCAAAGTCATATTTTGCTTCTTGTGGCCTTGTTTTAATTGTCTTCAGCTTCAAATTGAATTTGCATATAAGCAGTTGATGGTCTGTTCTACAGTCAGCTCCTGGCCTTGTTTTGGCTGAAGATATTGAGCTTCTCCATCGGCTCTTGCCAGAGACATAGTCCACCTGATTCCTGTGTACTCCATCTGGTGAAGTTCACATGTACAGCCACCATTTGTGTTGTTAAAAAATATATATATATTTCCAATGAATAAGTCATTGGTCCTGGAAAATTCTATGATGCAATCTCCAGCATTATTTCTATCACTTAGGCCATATTTTCCAGCTATTGGTGATTCTTCTTTGTTTCCAACTTTTGCATTCCAGTCACCCATGATAATTAACATATCTTGATTGCATGCTCTGTCATTTTCAGACTGCAGAACTTGGTAAAAATCTTCAATTTCTTCATCTTTGCCTTTGGTGGTTGGTGCGTAAATCTGAATAGTAGTAATATAAACTGACCTTCCTTGTAGTTGTATGGATATTATTCTATCACTGACAGCACTGTACATCAGGACACATCTTGAAACATGCTTTGTGATGATGAATGCCATGCCATTCCTCTTCAAATTATCATTCCCAGCATAGTAGATCATATGGTTGTCTGATTCAAAATGGCCAAAACCAGTCCATTTCAGCTCACTAATGCCTAGGATATCGATCTTTATGTGTTCCATTTCATTTTTGACAACTTCCAATTTTCCTAGATTCATATTCGTACATTCCTTGTTCCAATTATTAATGGATGTTTGCAGCTGTTTCTTCTCATCTTGAGATGTGCTGTATCTGTAAATGGAGGTACTGAAAGTTTTACCCTATCCACATCGTTACTCTGAGGAGGCAGCTCTTCCTCAGTCATATTTTGAGTGCCTTCTGACCTGAGGAGCTTATCTTCTAATGCTATATTGAACATTGTTTCAGGGTTATTCATAAAGTTTTAAAATAATATATCAGACAGTATTTCACTGCTATTAATAAGGTTTTCACTGGCCAATTCTTTGAGAAGTGGATGGCCTCTTCCTTCTTCCAAGACTGTCTTAGCCTGGAAGCTCCATTGAAACCTATCCACCATGGGTAATCCTGCTGGCATTTGAAACACCGGTGGCATAGCCTTCAGCCTCACAGCAACACACAAGGCACGACAGCAAGACAAACTGACAGACAAGTTTGTCTCCCTTAGTTTTTCCAGATGGCTCTGCTCACTTCCTGGTTTCCCCAAGCCATCCAATACTCACCTACTACACCCTGCTCACTTACCCAGCCTGCCCCCAGGTGCTCCAAAAACACCCACCTTCTGCCTTCCACGGCACTCAGTTTATAGCAATTAAAATACTATTGCAGTTCAGTAAATATTGCATGTAAAGATGTAAAGATGAAGATTACCAAGGAAATTCTTACCAATAAAATCTCATTTAAAAATGGTCCTATTTTTTAAAATAAAGCTTTATAAAACTGGCAATAGTCAAAATAAGGGGCAAACTCCTCAGACTGATCTTACCTTTAATGATTTCAAATTAATGATTCAAATTTAATGAATTTAATGAATTACAGTTTCAATCAAGATCATAAAGGACAGTGTTCTGAACATCACTGATTAGGTGGTCTGAATAGGTGTTTTAAACCTGGGAGATATATCCTACACCCTTCATCTCCAACCTGATCAGTAAAACAGGACACAAATAGGCAATTAGACATTCACTGTAGAAAATCTGGGGACTCAAGTCTGTATTTACGTACGCAGAAAGAGTTTGCTAAGATAACAGACATTTGTACTGTTTAAGACCATATACTGGGCCAGGGAGTTTATAAATAAAAAATCTCTACCTTGGAGAAAAGCATTTTAACTACTACTCATTATAGAACTATCTCCCATTTAGATAATCTATTTTTAGAGAAACCTAAAGCAACACAACTGGATGAGATTATTTAAGGGGT